CATCAGTTTATTTTGTTTATTAGATTCCACATATGAGTGAGATCATGTGATACTTGTCTTTCTCTGACTGACTTATTTCACTTAGTGTAATACTCTCCAGGTCCCTCTGTGCTGTCTCAAAGGGTGAGAGATCCTTCTTTTTTACAGTTGCATAGTATTCCATGGTATACATGTACCACAGCTTTTTTATCCACTCATCTACTGATGGGCATTTGCGCTGTTTCCAGATCTTAGCTATTATAAATTGTGCTGCAACGAACACAGGGGTGCATACATTCTTTTTGATTGGTGTTTAGGGTTTCTTAGGATCTATTCCTGGAGGTGGGATCACTGGTTCAAATATCAGTTCCATATTTAATTTGGGGGGGAAATTCCATACTGTTTTCCATAATGGCAGGAGTGTACTAGAGTTCCCTTTTCTCCACATCACCACCAGCACCTATCATTTGATTTGCTGATAGCCATTCTGACAGGTGTGAGGTGATACTTCATTGTCATTTTTATTTGCATCTCTCAGATGACTAGTGACTTTGAGCATTTTTTTCATATCTCTTGACGTTCTGTACGTCCACTTTGGAGAGTGTCTATTTAGGTCCTTTGCACATTGTTTAATTGGATTGTTTATCTTCTTTTGTTAAATTGTATGAATTCCTTATGTATTTTGGACATTAACCCTTTATTAGATGTATCATTGCCAAATATGTTCTCCATACAGTGGGCTCCCTTTTCAATTTGTTGATGATTTCTTTTGCTGTGCAGAGCTTTCTATTTTGATGCTTTCCCACTTGTTTATTTTCTCCTTAGTTTCCTTGGCCCTAGGAGATGTATCTGTCAATATATTGCTACAATAGATGTCTGAGATTTTGGTTTCTTCTAGGATTTTTATCATTTCCCAACTTACATTTAAGTCTTTTATTCATTTTGAGTTTATTCTTATGTATAGTGTAAGCTGGTGGTCTAGTTTCATTTTTTTGCATGTATCTGCCCAATTTTCCCAACACCATTTATTGAAGAGATTGACCCCATGTATGCTCTTGCTTCCTTTTTCAAATATTAATTGAGTGTAATGGCTTGGGTCTATTTCTGGGGTCTCTGTTTTGTTCCACTATCTATATGTTTGTTCTTGTGCCAGTACCAGGCTGTTTTGATTATGGTGGCTTTGAAGCATA